ACCGAAGCAAAACACCCAACCGCAAAGGAAAGCCGGCAGAGTCGCCGCATTGGAGAATCTTACCACCGGTGAATTTCAGTTTTTTGATTTTTTTTGGGCCAATCGAGACCCCTTAACATATTTTCTCACAAGGATTGATATAAAACCGGTCGAATTAAGCCGAAAATGGCTAAAAACACCTGACCCAAGGTAAACCACCGCTGTGGGTGGTGGTGCTGTCCTCGGAGCACGGCGGAGCCGCTGTGCCAAAATTTCAGAATTGGTTGAAAAAGGGTCCTAACACTGATTTTGGATTTTTTAGAATATTTCTAGGTAATTGAAGAGCGTTTTAATCCATGAGGAAAAATTCAGGGAACCCGAGGGTCGCTAGTAGGCGCAGTGAACAAGTTTAGCATTTTGGGCATCAATTTGAGTAAGAATCCCTCACCTTATTCTCTTTTATGGAATTGAAGTCTAATTAATAATAATAATACGGTGTTTTGAGCAGTTTAGAAAATATCCATTATTAATTATAGGTCACTAATAGAGCCAGAACCATAAATTATTCATTATTGATTCTGTTGATTTATTTTACAGTTTGAATGCATGATAATACCTGATTGATTGATTTTATAGTTTTAATGCATGATAATACCTGATGATTGATCTGATAGTTTGAATGCATATATTTTTTGCTTCATGTGATTATGGTTGAATTGAGAAGCTGGAAATTAAAGGATAATACCTGTTTGATTAAGTGAATGGATGAAACGACAGCCTTACTGAATATCCTGAGAGATGATGGGCGCACTAGGTACATAAGAAACCCTACTATGAACGTTGCCACATACCGGACGGGATATGGGGACGGCCCATTTCACCCTTATACCGGACGGGGTATCGAGATTTAATAATTTAGCACTCATATCGGACGGGTTATGGGGACGGTCTGTTAATTGGAAATGTTGAAGGAAAGGGTTCACGTGTTGTGGGGACATCCCTATGGACCCCCATGAATACTAGTAGGCTGATAAAAGAGAAAATTGTTGTTCCAACCGATTGCATATGAAATTATAATATGTGCTATGTCATTGCCTCTATAGGTTATTTTTGTAAATCTCGCCACAGTAATGTACAATAAATGATTTTACTTGTGTTAAATGAATTTACTTAATTAAGAGCTCAATTAGTTCGTTTTATGATTTCTACCAACCTTCATTTCTGTGTTGGTGAGTAGCGTGATATTCTTTCTAGACTAGTGTAGCTCATTCTTTCATTAACCATTTCAGATCAAGAGAACTAGAATCCAAAGCCCAATTCACAAGAGAATTACGAGTAGAACGTTCAGTTGTTTATTTTAAATTTATTTTCTTTGAAATTTCCGGGGTCGTTACATGCTTCTCTTCTAGTTAAATTCTAATCTCTACCACGTTTTTCATCACCATTATCCGCATATAGCTGTATTCCTTAACCAGTAAGTTACAGAGTCTCACTTTCAAATAGACTAGATGACATCTTATTGAATTCAAAACATATATATGTGAAGAAAGAGATAAAGAGAGAGAGAAAAGATGTATAGTGGGAAGGAAGAAAACGAAAAATGTACAAAGACAAAATAAGGTTTTAATGGTGAATAGTCATGTACATTGAATGTGGCAATTTTAGTGGTGAATGATCATGTACATTGAATGTGGTGTCCCTAAGCAGATTCATTATAGGAAGATGAGAATAGTGCACCCCTAGATGGATTTTTCATAGGAAGGTGTGGATAGCGCACCCCTGGGTGAATTCATGATATGGAGATGAGGATAGCGGTTTAAACTTTTTTTTTTTCCATATTTTGGAGAAAAAACAGATTTTATTAGATTTTATCCCTTTTGTTATATTTTAGAAAAATTATTACCTTTTATTTTTTCCAACCATATATACCTTTTTTTTTCTTTCGATTCATGCCTGTTGACCAATAATAAAATCATTACCCTTATTCTGTAGTCTACAATATATCTAACAATTAAGTAAAAAAAAAATACCAGCCAATGGCGAAGTGTTAAAATCTCATAACAACTTCCCAATTTGTCGAATTCATTTCTTAATCTCAATTAATCAATAACTTTTTTTTTCTTTGTTAGGCAAAATGATGGATGATAAGACATAATTCTTCTAGAAGGTCCAATAGGTCTACCAAAAATTCCCAATTTTGATTCCAGAGACTTTATGTATCAGTAACCTTACATAATTGTGACAAATATTTCCGTAGTTCGTGACAACTAGCCCACAAACTTGCTTCTTTCCATTATTGTGACAAATATTTCTATAGTTGGTGACAACTAGCCCACAAACTTGCTTCTTTCAAATAATCATGTCACTTTTTCTTAGCATTCTTGTTGCATAATATGTGTCTTTAATGTCTCATGTATTATACCGTTGATTTTCTTAATATTGATAAAGTTTTTTGGCATTTTCATAATAGTCAAGAGTAGCCGTAAATAATATATCTCACTAGTTTTTGGATGTGTGTAAACTACTCTAACAATAGGTTTCTCTAACTTCCTCATAACCTAAGATCTTTTTTTATTAATCCATGCAAGCTTTATAGGAAATTCAATATATGTTAATATTTGAGCAATTGGATTTATGGAGCTTATCTTCATCCATCATCCATTCCGTACACATTGTTTCATGAACCCTTCTTTCATCATAACTTTACTCAATGTTTCAATATTTTTTGTGATAATATTTTTCTCATTAGCAAATGAAATGGAACGCAAATCACTAATTGCATTTGTAGGCCCTTTCTGCTTATATATACTTACGAAAAAATAATGCACACCCATAAACATACATAAACAAATTATATACTTTGATCAATGCTGAGTTGCAAAGTTTTCATGTAAAGAGAAGGGTGTGATTGGGATTTGATCAATTCAAGCTCCCTTGGTTGCGTAGTGATTGTATGTGAGATTTGAGTACTGTGTCGGTGAAATAAATCTCCATTTTTCTATGGACAATCTTCATGATATTTGTCACTTGTTTTGTTTCACGGGAAAAAA